AAGCTTGTTGTATGACGTCATGATGGCCGAGGTTAGGAGTAGAAGCATCTGGTGTGTGTGTGTTTGTGTATGCGTAGTGTGGGAAAAGAAGAAAGAGATAAGAAGATATGGAAAGTATCGGATGTATGCTTGAAAGAAAGAAAAGCGTGTAAGGTTCTTGATTAGGTGAGTTGTGTGTGAGTTACGTGTGTGAGACTGATGAGCAACGGAAGGAAGGAAAGAACATTTGAGAAAAGGCATTTTGGAAAATTCTTTACTATAGAAGGAGATAGTAAGAATAAAGAGTGATAGTGTGAACGAATTTTTAAGTAGCGAATCTTTGTGAGAACATTGTGAGAGTATTTGTGAGAACATTGTGAGAAAGTGAGTAAGAGAGTTCTGTTAAGTGTAACGTTATTGTAATAAGTTGAAAATATATTGGTTAACTCTAGCAGCGGCGGCAACACGTGGGATTTACTATTCCTAACAGAATAAAACATAATCCAAATCCCATATATATATATGTATATATACACGATGCTTGATAGGAAATTCTGTGATTTTAACTGAATTTTTTTGTGCGTTTACGTATATCTATAAATATAGAGTAATTTGCTAGATATCATTAACCGTTTCCCCTTTCGAATTTCCTTTTAATCGTACCACGTGGAGTTTGATACCAATCGTGATTTCAGCACATATGATTCTTTTACATAGTGAAAAATACAAAAAAATAAATAAGCGATGTATGTTGTATAACGGAACTCGTTCTTCTGTCGAAGCAAATTGCTTTCTGAAAGCTACTACCTTGATTTTATGATTTCGTTCCGCGTCTCTGGCATAATTTCTCACGCGTAAACAAGCAATGATCGACTTTAGGGAAGTTTCTGATTTGAAAATAAGTTTAATTTAATTTATAAGCAATATTGTGCGGTCAGTCAACGTGCTCTTTTCGAATGAGAATGTTCCTCGTAAGTAATTACGTTTTACGCGTCCGATTATTCTTTCCCGCGATCTTTATTTTATGCTTTCTTAGATTATATGCGATATACACAGGTATAATATTATATAATAATATGCAAAGCGTTTTGGTTCGCTAATGAGGCATTCATTAAATCCAGCTGAAAGTGAAACGGTGTCGTTTCTCTTACACCCGACAATTTATTACTGCGTTCTAAGTTTTACAAAGTTACTCGGAAAATCGCCTCGACACTCTTCCAATCAAAATTTATTTATTTAGAAAACATGCACTCGCCGAGTGTACGAATACGAGTGAAGTTCTAATTAATGAGTAGAGTTTAAACTCCTTGAAATCTCTTTCGACTCTTCCACAGTTCATACTGTTATTAATATAGAAACGAAGTTCTTGTTCCTATTTTCTCTAGGTTCTCGGATTCGACTTTAACTTATATATGCATTACTTATTCGTTTAGGAAGGATACACTTCTGCTAAAGTATAGTGCCGTGCGCATCTAACGTATTTACGTAAGCGCGCTGTACTTTCGACGTCCTACATCCCCGGAACCTACTTTCCTAGATTTTAAGATCGCTTGCACACGCCGAGTTCACTTTCAATTTCTACTATGTATGCAGCAGCTTCTCGTTTCATTGCAAATAACGCATCTCATTGTTAGCAGAGGGAAAAGACTTTTGAGTGCGGCAAGTTTTAGGATGGAATTTTTTTCCTCGTTTATACGCGTGAACGTTGTTACCGGAAGAACCATAAGCAGAACAAACTAACAATGTAACCAATCCACGTCATACGGATTCACAAGACTCCCTTCTAAACGTTCGCTTTGTATGCATTTTATGCATTGTTCTACTCCAAGTTACCGATAACAAATAGACTATTGTTTAACTTCTGATTCCCTTTGTTTCGTTATTTTTCTTTATATTCTCTACTTATTTCTCCTTTTAACGTACTAGTATTTTCATATGCATTTTAATCTTGATCTTTTTCGTTGGTCGTATCTTTAGTGTATCTTTGAAAAACTAAAGGAGCTCGTATTACCGAATGATCTCGACAGCGCGATAAGCATCTCGGTTACAAAGTACACAGTACACGTAATGCGATGGCGTATGTGTGAGATGTTAAGAACCTCGATAGAAAGTAAGAAAGAGGGRGAGAGAGAGAGAGAGAGAGAGAGAGAGAGAGAGAGAGAGAAAGAAAGAAAGAAAGAAAGAAAGAAAGAAGTCTTGCTCAATGGATACGATTAACGTGCTTTTTTCCCACTTTGACATTTACTAGAAAGGTTTTTATGGCATCTCGTCTTAAAGGTAAATGACTATAAGCTCGTAAGTGGTTGTTTTGCTACTGGCACACTTAGAGAATTATATGTCGATGTAGCGCAATGTTCTATAACAGGTGAAAGTCCTCTTACAACTCTTCATAATCGCACGGTCAGAGGCAAGCTAATGCAATGCTTTTCCCTCTGTCATAAATTGCTCATTAAATGGAAGTAGATGTTGAGTAGAAGGAGAGAGTAGTAGGAAGGCTTTCGTAACGATAGTAAACTTGATACAAAAAAATATCATTTTATTCATTTACAAAAAAAAGAAGATATAATACAGGTCGTTCGGGAAAAATCTCAGCGCAGCAAATACAATATCTCGTTCCCGGCGGCACTCTCATTTATTTTCGTTCTTTCTATCGAGCGAAATTTTTCTCTACAGTTTAACGTACCTACGAGTGCCATTCCATCTTCCTCGTGGGGGATGTATCCAATGGTTTTCTCTCTCTCTCTCTCTCTCTCTCTCTCTCTGTCTCTCTTTCTCTCTCTCTCTCTCTCCGACGATGGTGCGCGGTTTTCATCGAAAGTAGAAAGAAGAAGAGAGTTTGCGGTGAAGGAGGGATAGGACAAGAAGAAGGAAAAACACGGAGAGTAGTGAGGTCCCTGTTGGTCGTCGTAGTGTTATATCACAGCTCGATCTCAGTGATGACCGAAGCCACCGAGTTCGAGCTCGTGTCCACCACCGTAACCACCGTCGCCAAATCCACCGCCAAAACCACCACCTCCATGATGATCCTCGAGTAACACGGGATAAGGTTCTTTCACGACTACTGGAACTTTAACTGGATAAGGTACGGGTTTTGACACAGTGTAGGGAACCTTGACTGGCACCTTGACTGGATACGGCACTTTGATGGGAACCTTGACTGGTACCTTGACGGGATAAGGTACTGGTTTATCCACTGGATAGGGTACATGCTTCTCGACGGTTACCGGGTAAGGTGCTGGCACGTGGACAGGAACCGGTCGATCTATGGGTACCTTAACTGGTACTTTTACCGGATAAGGTACATGTTTTTCAACCTCGACTGGATACGGTGCCGGGACATGTACTTGTTTCGTTATCGTCACCGCCGGAATATGTTCGGTCGAGATATGTTCGCCGCCTCCAAAGCTGCCACCACCACCACCACCACCACTGCCTCCGCCAAAGCCGCCTCCTCCGAAACCATGACCTCCGCCGAAACCATGACCTCCTCCAAAACCTCCCCCGAAACTGTGACTTCCCAGGCTTAGTTCTAGGCCACGCTTCGTTTTCTCATCCTTTTTTTCAACGTTAGTTTCACTTTTCTTCGTCTCCTCGGCCACGGCCATCAAAGCCAGGCTGCACAAGAGTAGCACCTGCAAAATATCAATATTCGTTTCACATTAATTTTCTATTTTCGTTTTCTTTTGCTTGTTAACGCGATGGAATTTCCGATTAAAAGGAAAGAGAGAAAGAAATGGAGATGTGAGGGAAAAATTTTTAGAGATCCTTTAATCATTATTATCATTCGTTAACATAATAAAAATAAAAAAAGAAATAGAAAAGAGGCCCGTTTATCTTTCTCCCGAGTTTGAAATAAACTCCTTAACTGAGAGCGGAAGGCTCTCCTACGAATGGTGCGATTCGAGAGGCGGCAGTCGCTACTCACTTTCAGCTTCTCGGTGCTGTACATGTTGGTTGTCAGTGAGCACACTGGCTCCTCTATGGGCTACTCTGGCTTTTATAGGGGGACGCAACTAGTAACGGCCCGTCCGTACGGGCAACTCGAGCGTGCCGATGAAATTATTGCCGAGTAGGAAGTTAATGGAAGGAAAGAAGGAACAACGACTTGCCGGATAACGATTTTCTCCAAACTTCTTCATCTTATCTTCTTTTGGTATTTTATATTCTTGTTCTCCTTTTCGCTTTATTTTTCTTCTCTTATCTGTTTATCCGAATTTCAAGATATTTCAGTTTCGAGTTTCAAGTTTTGTTGTTGTTGTTGTATGACGAATCTCACGATTTTAAGTTTTTTTTTTTTAAACTTTTACTTTTTAAATTGTTAATTGTTTCTATGTAAAAATTACATTTGAAAAAATGAAACCAGCATATCCGAGAGAAGAAGAAGCTTATTGCGCATAACGTCCAACTTGTAAAGAAAGGAAGGGGGGTGGAGGGACTCTTGTCGATTCTGTCGAATAGAGAACATAGAAAACCTTTCTACAGATGTGATGTGCATTTTTGGTAAGTTCCTGACGTACGAATATTGTCGATAAAAGTGCTATTTATTATTAATCGCAATACTAAAACGTTGGATATAATTGTTAAATTTCTATTTCCATTTTTCTCTCGTTTTAGTTGAAGGAGCTTTTGACTATAGTCTTAATAATGGAGCAACGGGGACAGTAACTAATTATGGCTATAATCAGATATCATTTTTAATCCGATTACGTTTAACAAAAGGATGCTCTGTTTCTTGGTAGCACCACGGGGAACTTGATTAATATTACTAGCTCTTATAAGCTGCAAAAGACGCTATTTATCTATATATATATTTATATACATAGTTTTCCCTTCGTAATGTTTTAATCACATTGCTTACGAACTAATTCGATTTTATTCTGATTTTGATTTTTATTTGAAGGAAAAAACAAAGATGGGTAATTTAATTGTCTTCAGCTTTAGGAATTCGAATAGTCCTTTTAATCATTGTTGCGATCTGCCAATTACGTTGCACGCTTTTTCGGTCATTTGATAATCGTTATTGCATAAATCCTCGAGGTTCTCTCTCTCATCGCTTTTTATGGCGCTTTAACGCGCTTATGCAGAGTCATTATATTTTTATCGGCTTAGTAAAATCGTACTTTATCTTTAATCTCACGCGCACGTTACTTTTTGCGTAATACAATTTGAGACAAGTGTGGCGAAAGGAGGTAACTACGAGGACGCGAGTTTTCGTCGAAAGCTTTTTAACCAAAGCTAACGAAAAGAAATAAACAATACTACACAGGATGTCCTTGTTTAATCTTTTTTTCTACGGTTAATCTCGGTATGGTTTCCTACTTCCTATTTCGATTGTTCGAAGGTACCCTGGAATATCTCGCATATCCGTGCTTTATCAAGCTTATCGTGAGAATAAATTTCCATATATCTGAATTGGAATTTGAAAATATATTGATTGGAGAGTCGGTGTGCTGCGCCGTTTCAGTCACGTACCGCTTTCCGATAGTGAAAACGTAGAGAGAGAGAGAGAGAGAGAGAGAGAGAGAGAGAGAGAGAGAAGGAGAGAAGGATTCTTGGATTTCCGATAGTGTTTCTGTTCGGCTTATGGAAGGAGAACGTTAAATCGTTTTCAACGAATTTACGATGAAGCCCGGAATAAGGGAGAGAGGCTCGTGCCTCGTTCCTTAGGCAAAACGCGTTTGTAGCCCGCGTACTTTCTATGTCTCTTAACTCGAAAAGGTGTTCTAGGTGCTTTGTGTCACATCAATGACGATTGTATACGATTGTATATGGAATTAAATAAGACCAATTGTTTCTTTGTTATTTTTTTAATTTTTTTTTCCTAGAGTGCATTTGTCGAATTCATATCTAATAGCAGGACACGATTACGATGATCAATACGCTTGCGTGTAAGTATAGTTACCGTAGTGCAACATCGTGGTTTCTAGCGAGAAATTGGCTAGGAACGGGTTTTCAAGCGGGAAAATACAGGGAGATACATGGATTCGATGCCGATTAATCATCGATTATTTTACCTAACGCAAGGTATTAACTCATTGCTTAAGGTAACTATTGAAAAACTATCTGTTAGTTTTTATGGCGTACTTTTCCTACGGTCCTCTTCGGTATCGTTTATATTTCCGATTACGCCTGAGACATTAGACAGATTTTAATCACCTAGCTATTGATTCGAAAGTCTTCCTGCATTAAGGAACAGTATCAGGAAGCGGTCGCGGTCATTCTCTTTGGAATTCCAAGTCGAGCAAACGCATACACACATAAAGGAGAAACTGCTATTTTACTTTGCTTTAGTGTCGGGGGGCGATTATTTGTCGAGATAACGCGACTTCGTAATATTACGTATACGGAACTTCATAGATGAGAAGTTGGGAATCGGCTTTTACATACCCCTCCTATATCGGTCGCTGTAATGTAATCCTATTATGTTTAACGATCGATCGTGTACTTCCTAATAACCTAGCGATATTTACAAAATTGTCGTGGCCAAGTTTAGGCGTGGCTTTTGTAAAAAAAAACTCTATAAGCTATAATATTATCGATTTCTTCCGGATGTGTCTTTATGTCAGGTGAAAACTAATATTCAGCTTCGATAGGTAAAGCGAATGCGACGAGTGTGATCCAAGAAATCGGCCCACAAAATTACCGAGGTTTTTCGCCGAAAGTCTGAATTTCTACTTCAGCGACCACAAACGTAACCTTATGCAATAATGGGAAAGGCTTTGGATCCATCCAGGCCACGATTCTCATGAATATATGGATGGATGGATGGATGGATGGATGGATGGATGGATGGATGGATGTTTTCGCTTAAGGTGTTTATCAAGCCGTTTTCTAGTTTCGCCCTTTTCCTTTAGGATACCCTAAGCCAGCCGTTCACCCTTCTCTATCAACACTTCTCCGTCGTGACAGTGCAAATGTAAGTTGTGCCTTAAAGTATCTATCCCTAGGTCTTAGATTTTTTTCCTTGTGCCCTTCATCCTCGACTTTTCCTTATCGAACGAAAGAAACGATTCGAATCGATCGATAAACGACAGTGCCAACAAAGAGTGTAGTCATGATTTTTCACGTAGCCTGTATTTCGTTACCTTCGGCAATCATTCCTAGTTAATAATCGATAAAGAAATATAGCGATATTTGATTAACGATTTTAGCGCTTAACGAATAATACCGTTTTTTTTGTTTTTTTTTTTTCAATGTTTCTCATTTGTTGAGAATTTTACGACTGCTATCGATCTATCGGAGTTATGAAAAAGTTTCGCCAGTTTAATTAGACAGAAAGGTAAATCCTATCGATTGCGTACTCAATACTTTTTTTTCCGCAGATTAAATAAATGTGTTATTTGCGGCTAAATGAAAAATAATTTTTTAATTGCCCGTGACTAAAGCCACACATCGAAATCAATGCCGACGTGTTTCAACGACGTTCCGATTCGACCCACAAATTAGTTATCGGCTACAAAAATAATATAGCCAATAAAATTGAATCACATTTAATATTTAATCTTTTTTTCTACTTTATCTGCTATTATTATTGCGAAACTGGATCTGGCAATAGAGAAGAAAAAATTAAAAATTAAAAAAAATGTAAATAAATAAAAAAGGTAACTTGTTCGGTAAACTTGGGTAAACACGTGCTAAGCCTGGTTTTGACGTTATCGCCGTGAATTATAGCAGAATTTGATAAAAGGTTCGAGTAAAAAGAACATGCTTCCTTTCGTGATGACAAACCATTTTACATAGTGTCGATAAATTTTCGTTCGTGAAAGTATCGAATAATATAATTGGCAAGCAGCGTATTACGCCATTAAATCGATCATTTTATGTTTTTAGTCTGGATTAGAATGCATGGGAGAGAGATAAAAAAGAAGAAAAAGAAAGATGACAACTCCACAAGTAGTTTGCAACGCAATCACGACGCAATATCGACGCTTGTCGGATTAACGCGCAACGACGACTTCCCTTGGTGCATCTATCTGGTAATTAACCGAGCCCCGAGCATGATGCCGGGAATCTCTCAATTACCTAGCACGCGTTCGTGTCCACTAAGCGAGGAAGACGAAGAGAGAAAGCTGCGTGCGTACGTTGGTTGGTTCGTTGGTTGGTTCGTTCGTTCGTTCGTTCGTTCGTTCGTTCTAGCGACAGCCCCACTACCATTATTATCATCCGTTCTCACACTAACATCGACATCAAAATTCGCCTCGTTTAATTGTATTTACGATCGTAATCATCGAAAGGTGTCGTGTCATAAATAAGCGAATTAATTAGCGAGAGAGGATATTTGAAATCTACAAGAGTAGAAAAAGAAAAATAACGAGAAACGTAACACAATTTCCGTTTCTCTTACTCGAGTACTCTTCCACCTAGTTACTCTTCCTTTCTACCGAGAACGATACGAACGATGTTGAATTCTTTATAACGAGCTGACAATTTTCTCTAAAATTATGCGTTACCAAAAACTTTCTTTGCCGGTTTGAAATGAACGGGGATTACGTAACGGAGCTGGTCGAAAGCATCGATCGCCAAGAGTTACGTCCGGTTAATTTTACGAGGCGCGAGTAAACGTTGAAATCGTGATCACGAGTGTAACGTTGTACGATCGGCGAAAGAACGAAAGGAAGGTTCACGCACTAGTTGTCTATTCCATCTATCTTTCTCTTTCTCTCTATTTTTCTCTAAGTGCGTATACGCTATCATTCGTTGAAGCAGCCTGTGAAATTGTAACTTTACACGGAAGCGCGTCACAGGTTAGCGCGTTTAATTGATTTACATAGACGACATGACAGCTTGCATTTTCCAATCCTTCCTGAACTATTCGTATCTCTTCAATATTATGCCCTAGAACGTATACGCGTGCATGTAATAAGGAGAAGAAAGGCGCGGCTACGGGATCTAGCGCCCGCGAATACAGAAACGTTCACCGTTTCTGTGCCCGGAAACTTTCTTCCGATCGAGAACGATGATTATGCAAGCGGTCGATCACTTGGATCAGAATTATGTCCGGTATCGTTTACGAGTGTCGAGTGAGCGGCGAAATTGCGATCGTGAGGAATTGCTTTCTTTATCTTGGTGACAGACAGAAAGGGAGAGAACAAGTGTTCGCGAAACAAAAAAACAAAAAAACGAAAGAAAGATATAAATTATATTAGCGAAAAAAAAAAACAATATTTTGAATCGATTTACGCGATTCGTTGGCTTGTGGGAAAAGGTAGTCGAGAAGGCCGGACCACTTTGCGATGATTAGTCCACGTGCGTCACGAAGCGTAGCATTCTATGGTCCACCTTTAAGACGTTCCGGGCCCGACTTGTATATTTTTCCGGGGAGTGGGTTCGCGTTAGCTACGGCGAAAGTGCTGCCGGTATATATGCCGCTGATTGAGACGATGTAACTTCAGTGTGCACTACCGAAGTCTACCATGAGCACTCCACAGGTGAGCTCGCTTTCAAGCTAAAGAATCTTCTTAGCGTTTCAGGATCTCTTTTATAATAAAATTTAATGTTTATTTGTCATTATCTGCAAATAATAATCATTACGTTTTTCAATTTGTATCGATTTCGTCGTTCGTTTGATTTTTCTTTTCAAATTATTCCTAACGATATAAAAAATATTCTTAACGAATAGAAATTATATTATATTTGAAAAGGGATAAATATCAATGAGGTGTTAGAGATAAGATGAGAACGGTTTGTCAACAGGCACTCGTGCTCCTCGTCCTCGTGGCCACGGCGACGTTGGCTTCCGAGACGAAGAAGGAGGCGAAGAAGGAGGCCACCGATAGCAAAGACGCGAAAAGCAAAAGAGGATTGGAATTGAGTTTGGGTCATGGCTTTGGCGATTTTGGCGGACACGAAGGATTTGGCGGCGGATTGGGAGGAGGATACGGAGGAGGATATGGAGGAGGATACGGAGGAGGATACGGAGGAGGATACGGAGGAGGATTTGGCGGTGGTGGCGGCGGTGGCGGTGGCGGTGGATTGGGAGGTGGCGACGGGGGACGTATCAGTTCGATAACAATCCACAGGGAGGTTCAAGTCCCAGTACCAGCACCATATCCGGTCGAGAAGAATATACCGGTTCCAGTGGCTGTGCCAGTGAAGGTCCCGGTCGATCGTCCTTACCCTGTGCACGTACCTAAGCCTTACCCAGTGCCCGTAGAAAAGCACATTCCGGTCCCGGTCGAGAAACCGGTACCAGTACCATACAAGGTTCCCGTAAAAGTGCCGTACAAGGTACCATACCCGGTCAGCGTACCTGTAAAGGTACCTTACCCTGTACATAAGGAGGTACCTTACCCAGTTAAGGTTCCCGTCGTCGTCAAAGAATCTTATCCAGTATATGTCCATGGAGGAGGTGACGGTGGCGGCTATGGCGGCGGCTACGGTGGCGGCTACGGAGGCGGCTACGGCGGCGGCTACGGCGGCGGTCATGGCTACGGAGGTGGTTACGGAGGTGGCTACGGAGGTCACGGCTTGGAGATTTCCGATTTTGGTGGATTGCATCATTGACGATTATGCGAATCTCGACCATAACTGTCGAGACCAGACTTCAACGATTATTATCATCTTGTATATAATTCTAGTTTTTCTTTCTTCTCCCCATTTTCTTTTACATACCAACAGATGCGTTGTTTCTCTCCCTCTCACTTTATTTTTTATACGCGAAAGATTTTAGATTAATTGCGAAATAAAGTAAATTATTTTATATAGGTGTTTTGTTGTGTGTGTTGCAATTTCGGAATGTCGAGCTCCTCTAATCGACAAATGCTCCTTTGTGAAACAAAGCCCTTCTTTTGCATTTCTCTCCTTTCCTATTGGCTATATTCACTGTAAACGGTATCTATCGTCTTGGATAAGAAAAGGGTCGGAATCTGCTTCCCATTCCGTGATAAACTAGTAGGGCTTTCGTGCTCGCGGTAGCAGCTTTTGTCTGTGACGCATCGTTCGCTTAATTACCGAGTACCGCCCCCAGAACTTATCACCACGACTGTAGTTGAGAATATTGGGGATGCACGGTATAAGATTAAGTTCTCGTTATATCCGCACAATGCAGCTACTCTCGTCGTCGTCGTCGTCGTCGTCGTCGTTGTCGTCGTCGTCGTCGTCGTCGTCGTCGTCGTCTCGTTGATCTTTTTACACGAGATGCAATAATAAGATGTAGGAAAATTCCTCTTAATTATTTTACTTCTTGCTATGTAATAATGATCGTGATTAACAACGTTCAAGCAGCCATGATATCAGAAACTTTGGCATATCCTCTAAATAGTTTGGAAATTTTGGCCCAAACTAATTTCATTCGTTATTAATGTTAGAAAGTATATATGAACGTGTATTATTAAACAGCTTTCGTCATATTTAATGTTGTAATTCTATGTTGCAATTTATCGTAACTGCCATCACAAAACAAAAAAGACTGTAAGAAAGACCACAAGAAGCATCGATTTATTATTATTTGTATTTTCACGGTAAACACGTGTGGCTCATTATGTACGTCACGGTGAAATCACATCGAACATTGAATCGTCCTAGGTGAAACTTGAGAAAGAAAGCGAAAGCTATCTTGAAGCTTGAAGCGAGCTAATAAATCGCTTTATCACGCTGAAGGAATATTCATTAAAGGAATTATATTCGATCAGAAGTTATCCAACTTTGGTAATTTCCTGTGAAACATAGACGACGAAGGTAGGAAAGAAATGATTGAAATTGGTGAACCTTTCAAGAGTCCTAACTGATGGGAGCTTGAATAACGTTTATCTTGCCGTGCAACGCATTAATATATAATATAATATACCTATGTATATAAAAATGAAGTACAAAGATAAAAAGAATACTCGAAGGTTGGTTCGTAAGCTTGAAAAACAAGGGTAGAACGCAAGCGCTGTGTTGGGCGTCGTAATGTCTCGTCAATGGTGGAATGGCATCGTCGTCGCCACGTACGTCCGGTTTTTTGAATGATACACTTTAACGTATGTTTCTCAAACCACGCACTTTTCTATAGCGACAATATCGTCGAGGATTTAATTGTTAATTGGATTTAGATTTTATCTCGCTTGGTTTGCAGAACAAAGTAATTTGCATTTTTAACGGTTCACTGAAGACAATTATTATTATTTGTTCTTTCCATATAGGAAAATTCAAGGGAAATTGCTTGCTTAATTATAAATGTTAGTATTGCTACGAGCAAGTTTGGTGTAAAGATACAAAAGATAAATAAAATTAAATTATTTTTCTTTAAATTTACATGATAGATGCGTGTTCGATCAGTGAATTTAGAATATGATCGCAAGTTAAGTGTACTTCCGTAGTTTAATGTAATATTCCTCTTCCGTAATATTAATTATTTGTTAGATAATCATAGCGAATTGTATTTCCTAGCAGTCTGATTTTAAAGTACCATTTAGCTTGCTGAATCATGGCTGAAATTCCATATTCGTTCCGTGTAGGAAAAGCCGTATGCTCTCATGCAAGTCATATAATTGCTTTCATCTTATAGCTCATTCGTCGACTCGGGCTTCTGTAGGCGAGAATTTGCATTCGCTTCTCGACTTTCGCAATACAATGTTTCATATACCTATACGAAGATGCAATCTGACTCGAATGCACGAAGCACAAGGATGAAGGGTTGCGCGAGGGCTGCAGCCGTTACTGTGGCCTAATTAGGCGCGTGATCGCAACATTAAACACACGTCACGTAGTTAATCAGTGCGACATCGGATTGTAGACGGTCACGTAAACGATCGTGCCTACGAATTATTTTTCTTCTCCACTCCACTCCACTCGATTTTTCATTTCAACAGTATGACGACGTTCCTTCGTCGTGTACCTTTACGTTTGTAAGCGGGTTGATAAAGAACTTGGAACTTGACGGCTGGTAAAATACGTATTTAATTCTTTGCGATTTACAATGAACTCTTTTCAAACTCGCCTCACACAGCGACAAAGGTATTGTCTAGGTCCTTCGACTTGACGAACCACAAATTTATTACCAAAAAATACACTATTTCACATATTTGTGATCGTTCTGTTTTACCTAGCATATATATACATATACGTTCGCGAATGTTTTTTACTCAATTTGGTTCCGAGAAAATGTTTAGCGTATAAATAGAGCTTGACACTGTTGAAATTTAGTACTGGCAACAAATAGCTATTTCGACGAAAAAGAAGGGGAGGACGCATCGTGTCGCAGCTGTGCAAACGTCTCGAAGAAAAGAGCTTAGTTTAAAGGAACTTTCCTACTTCGGGCATCCGTCACGATGTCTTGCTCGTTTGAAAAGATTCTCGACGTGACCTTTCTTTCTCAAGAGAATGTGTTCACGTGAACGTGAAGATGCTCTATACGCTCGACTATCCATAGTTCCTTATCAATATCGTATTTTTAACATTTTTTACTTATTATTTTAGAATGAATCACTTGTATAGTATGAATAGCAAATGGAAAAGGAATGATCGGAAAGGATGATGGATAAGTATATTGATTTTGTATAATAATTTCCTACTTGTCTGATCCTATCGGCTCAAAGGATTTATCCAAAATCCATAGAGAGAAAACTTTCGTAACAACACTACATTTCGTCTACTAAGGGTCGACTCTAGCAGACGTAATAGTAAAGCATAGCGTTTACTCTAACAGAGTGGATACGTATTTCTGTGTATCTACGATGTACGCACCGGAAGCTTAACGGAGGCATAAATCAGATATTAAGCCTGCTTCATATTCGGAGTCTCATGTTAACGGATGCGTAATGTTCGATCGCTCGGTTTCACAGCCAGCAGCCGTCCAGCTGCTCTGTCTGTCTACGTTTGATATCTCCGAACAATGTTCTACCAAATCGGTAATTGAATGGCAGTTTACCGACTCCTAACAGTACATTTTGAAGCCGTAATATCATTGAGCACATTAAATCGTTCGTGATTCGAATCTACGAAAGATCGATCGAACGATAATTACAAATTACTTTTCCTTTCGTCTGGTACCGTAAGCTGTCGTCGTCTAAAAGATTAGTATGAGATAGAAATCGAATAAGTTACGTACGTCAGGTCTAACGTCGAGGGGGATGACTATACTATCACGAGTTGTCAAATGTCCACGTGTCCTGTAATTTCTACAATATTTGCTGAAAATCTATATGGGACAATTAACGGATAGGATAGGATAATCACTTTCTATAAACGATTAACGTCGATTACGTTCTTTAACGTATATCTAATGATAATCTATATGATACTTACGATTTCTATCAATTAAGATACTTTTTTAACGATATTTTCGATATGATATTAATTTCATTATAATATTATAAGAGAGAAGTTGAACGCTTTAGGGAAATGTATCTGTCAACATTTCTTCTAATTCAGCGGGACGATCGATATCACTGGGAAAACATCAACCTGATTTTTCTCACAATGTGTCTATTCGGTGGATTGGAACGACTTTCTAATAATTACTTCCTCGTGTCTTACATCTCTATCATGGCGTAATTGCGAGCCTATCCCCTTTTACCTCACCATTTCCGCCCATTGATTTCTACTTTAAGATTTGCCTTTACGTGTGTGTGCCTTTGCGTTCTTTGATAGGAATTCATCGAAAATGAACTTTTCCGATTATATTTCGAAATGCTCTTGGGTTATTTACTTAACTTTTCTTTCTTACTTCAAAGCTACCTACTTAAATCCACAATTCACCTCGGTACCGAATAGTAATCCTTCAATGGATAAACCACGTTTGTTAAGTCGATCGTCGAGATGGAAGCCGGACAGTGACTTACGATTTGTACGAAAGCTTTCGAGATTTTTGTACACTTTTGTACAACGAAAAGCTTTCAGGTGGTTTGGAATAATACATGTCCAAAGAACGGGGCCCAGTGTCTATATCTGAGCTTCTCGTACTTCCATCTAGCGATGTATTTGAGTTTGCAATGAGATCGATCAAAGCGTCAACATTTTATCTAAACTTCATACACCTACCTTCAACTTATGTTAGATTATAATATTCGTTGAAAACATTCGTAGAATCAATTTTTTAGCCAAGCTGCTTTTCTTTATTTTGGACACAGATATATATATATATTAGACACGTTTTGAAATTAATTTATTATCTTTGGATATTATTACCGTGTTTTAGGAATTATATGAAACATCGAGAGACAAATATTATATCTGTTCTGTTGTTGAAACGAAATTTTAATCTTCTTTTTAAATGCTTCTCTAAAGGTTAGTGTTTTTTATCACATTAAGCGGGAAGAATTCGAGAGCGACGGTTTGTACCCAACGATTAGTAAAGTAACATCGATCGTGCATTAAATGACGAATACATTAGCGTCCAATCGTTTTTAATTGCAATTATATTGCCTTCGGAGCACAGCTGTCTATTGAATCAAGTTTATATTTGCCAAATTTCATAATCTAACTTTGTTTTCGTTAAAGACTGCTGCATTCAAATTAAATCAAATCAAATCAAATCAAATCGTTTTTCTCTAACATCTGATTCTCCATTGGAATGAATAAACATAGTTGAAAAGAAAGTCTGGTAAAATCTATATAAACGTGATCAAAACAATTTTTTGTAAGTTTTTATAAATGTTGTAAATATGCATAGAGTATTTTGTAGAAAAATCGTTATTTAATAT